CGTAAAGAACCGAACCTCACAACCCCCTAAACCCTAAACCCTTAAAGAACCCAAGCTCACCTTCCAAAAACCCTAAACCCCTAAACCCTTAAAGAACCTTCATATTAAACCCCTTCTGCATGAACCCTTAAAGAACCCAAGCTCACCTTTAAAGAACCCTGAACCCTAAACCCTAAACCCGTAACCCTCAAAGAACCCAAGCTCACCTTCAAAAAGCCCCAAACCCTAAACCCTTAAAGAACCCAACCTCACCTTCAAACGACCCTAAACCCTAAACCCTTAAACCTAAACCCTAAACCCTAAACCCTTATCAACAAATCCTAAACCCTAAACCCTAAAGAACCCTAAACCTAAACCGAAAGGCCTAAAACCATTAACGAACCCAAGCTCACCTTCCCTAAACCCTTAAAGGAACCCAAGCTCACCCTAAACCCTGCAACCCTAAACCCTGGAACCCTACACCCTAAACCCTAAAAATTAAACCCCTAAACCCTAAACCCCTAAACCCTAAACCCTAAACCCTTCAAGAACCCAAACTCACCTGGTGTAACCCTCAAAATAAACCCAAAACAAACCTGATAAGGTCACCTAAACCCTAAACCCTAAACCCTTAAAGAACCCTAAACCCTAAACCCTAAATCCTTAAAAGAACCCTAAACCCTTAAAGAACCCTCAAAAGACCCAGAACAAACCTGAAAAGAATCCTTTAAGGAGCCCTTTCAAAAAACCCTAAACCCCTAACCCTCAAAGAACCCTAAACCCTTAAAGAACCCTTAAAGAACCCTTCAAGCTCACCTTCAAAAAACCCTAAACCCTAAACCCTAAACCCTTAAAGGAACCCAAGCTCACCTTTCCGAAACCCCCTTAAAGAACCCTAAACCCTAAACCCTAAATCCTTAAAAGAACCCTAAACCCTTAAAGAACCCTTAAAGAACCCTAAACCCTTAAAGGACCCTTAAAGGAACCCTAAACCCTTAAAGAACCCTTAAAGAACCCTAAACCCTTAAAGAACCCTTAAAGGAACCCTAAACCCTTAAAGGACCCTTAAAGGAACCCTAAACCCTTAAAGAACCCTTAAAGAACCCTTCAAGAACCCTAAACCCTTAAAGGACCCTTAAAGGAACCCTAAACCCTTAAAGAACCCTTAAAGAACCCTTCAAGCTCACCTGGTGTAGGGCGTCGCCGGGCCCGCCGGGGTTTTCGGCCGAGGGCTCTCGGAGAGCTGCGGCGTCTTCGGCCTGGAGAAGCCTCGGCTTTAGGGCTCTTTAGGGTTCCTTTAAGGGTTACTATAAGAGAGTGCAACGCCCTGGTGG